CTCATGGGGGGCCTCAGGTGGGCCCGGCCTGCGGGATCAGGACCGCTCTGATCACCAACAGCCAGGGCCGGGGAGCCTAGAAGAGAGAAAGTGAGGCTCAGTGGCCTGCTAGCCCTGCTCCCACCGGCCATTCTCAGGTTCAGCAACCCTGGCTCCATGCATATGCCTAGGACGAGGGCTCTGGGATCTGTGCATGAACGTGCGACTTCCCCCTCTTGATTGTTTAAGACTGGTTCTTAGTCCCTAGACTTGCTGGCCGGGAACTCATGATTTAACTCAGGATGGCTTCTGACTTTCAGAAATTTGCTTTTCTTAGCCTCTTACGTGCTGGGATTACAAGCATGAGCCACTTTGCCTAGTTTAAAGGAATTATTTAAAAAACAATTATTAAAGGTGGTGCATGTCTTTAATCCCAGCACTCAGGAGGCAGAGGGAGGTGGGTCTCTGTTGAGTTCAAGGCCAGCCTGGTCTACAGAGTGAGTTCCAGGACAGCCAGGGCAACACAGAAAAGCCCTGTCTCAAAAAACAAAGCAAAACAAAATATGTAAAGCAATAATTTTAATTACAATGATTCCTGCCCTAGAAAGAAGTGCCCAAGCATGTCAACAGCAGAATGGGATTCAGCTGTGGCATATATCTTTTAATCCCAGCACTCAGTGGGCCAAGGCAAGTGAATTGCCAAATGAGGATTGTCACAGAATTAAGAAGATCTCAAACAAGAAAATAGATCAATTGTATATTCATAATGGAGTGCTATTCTGTAGTAAGAAAGGAAGTAGTATCCATAACAACAGATGAGTATGTGTAGTATAATGGGAGGAAGCCAAACAGAACACACTGCAAGATTCCAGAGTTGGAAGGCAACAACAGACAAAAGTGATAGTGATGCAAGTCAGGAGAGAGGCTTGTGTCTCTAGTGAATTGGGAAGGGGTGGAAAGGAACCCTGTGCACCGTTGAAGAGTGTAGCTTAACCAGGGGTTGTGTTTATGCCTGTGTGGATACAGTCATCAAGACATGTATACAAAGCCTGAAGTATTCCATGTATACTTCATGCATGTGATATCCAAGAAGGTTCTCAAACAGATGCTTAATTTTCATCTTCTGAAGACCACATCCATCCTGCAGGCTCAACCACTAGAACTAAGTTGTAGGGACCAAGATGCTCATGTAGCTATGATGCTGTAGGTGGCACTGTTCCATGCCCACCACCCAGGCACTTTGGTACCTTCCTCAAACTTGGATAAGGTTAAGTTGGCCTCCAACAAGTATTCTTGTCCTTCCCTCCAGGGCCCTATTATCTTCCCTCTTACACCATTCCTGGCAAGTAGCCTACCCATTCTCACACCCTTCCTCAATTCTTGTGACTTCTCCACGCCTGTCTCACTGACCTCCAACTCCCTGAATTCAGGCTTCGTGTACCCTCTGAGCACAGTCTGGTTGTCACCAAGATCTTCAGCTCCTTTATCTATCAGATGATGCTTAACCATTCCATCTCCACAGGCTCCCATGACACTGCCCAGGGTGGATTTTCCTTTGGGTTCTGTGACTTCCTGCTCTTAACTGACTCCAGCCTCTTGTGGGGTAATCCCCATTGCCTCTGTCTGCTGCCCCTGACTCCTACATCGAGGCTGCTCTTGGCTCTGCCTCTCCTTCCTAATGAGCTCCAGAGTTCTTGCCTTCTGCCATTTCCTCATGGATATATAGAGGTCTCTCTTCCCATCACTGCCCAGCGCCCAGCCTCCTCTTCTATCAGCACTCTGCTTTGATCTTGGGGTGTCTGCCTTCCTTTCCCATTTTTTCAGTCCCTCCATGTGGTCTGGGGCACATAATCAACTCCCCCTTTTGCTTACACTGGGTCTGTGTTCTTTGTATTAAGGGATAATTTTTTAACAGAAATTAGAGATAAAGATGATTTCCTTTTTCAAATAACAGACCTTGTGATAGTGGCTTTTTCCCCCTTTCCATTTAATTCATTTATTTTGTGGGGTAGGATGAGCTTGCCGTGGCAAACATTTAGAGGTCAGAGGCTAACTGTGGGAGTCAGTTCTTTTCCTTCCGCCATATGGGATCCAGGATCAAACTTAGGTTGTCAGGCTTGGTGGTGATGTTCTTTACCTGCTAAGCACCTTCGCCACTGAGCCATATCCCTGGTCCTGTGATGGTTAGTGTTATCTCTTTCACAGAATCTACAGTCATCTGGGAATTGGGCCTTTGGGGAATTTTGATTTCAGTTGTTAAGGTGTAAAAAACTGCCCACTGTGAATGACATCATTCTCTGTGGGATTGTGCGTGTACACGGATGAGGAACTGAGGAGCAGCTTGCTCTCCGTGCCCTCTGCTTCCTGATCCCGCAATGCTCACCTCCTCACACTCCTTCCACCTTGATTCTCCCACCATGAACAGTACCTTGAGCTTCAAGCTAAAATAAACTTTTCTCCCATAAATTGTTTTTGTTAAGAGTAGTTTATCGTGTCGGGCATTGGTGGCACACACCTTTAATCCCAGCACTTGGGAGGCAGAGGCAGGCGGATCTCTGTGAGTTCGAGGCCAGCCTGGTCTCCAGAGCGAGTGCCAGGATCGACTCCAAAGCTACACAGAGAAACCTTGTCTGGGAAAAAAAAAAAAAAAAAAAAAAAGAGTAGTTTATTGTAACAAGAAAAGAAACTAAGATAGGGAGGTGTAAAACTATCACTTTCCTCACTCCCCAGTCAAAAGTTGGTGGATGCTGCCTTTAATCCCAGCACTCAAGAAACAGAGGCAGGCAGATCTCTGTTGAGTTGGAGGCCAACTGGTCTATCTAGTGAGCTCCAGGCCAGCCAATGCTACATAGTAGGACCTTGCCTCAAAATACAAAGAAACAAAAAGTTTGTGAATCGTGTCACAACAGCAAATCCACCGATTAAACTGTCATTCGCAGCCCCTGGAGCTGAGCCCACATCCCCACAAAGACTACTACATTAACAGAAAACTGTGAGGATATTGTTAGGTGCAGTGGTCTTTTCTGTGACCTCCTTAGTAAAGTCAAACAAGATCCACTTCAGCAGAGCTCAAAGCAGAAGAAAATAGCTTGCCTGGAGAAGGCCCTTCTGCCTGGGGCCAGTAATCTAATAATGAAGAGCCAGTTTGTAGCTTCAAACTAAAGTGAACTCAAGCAAAGAGAGAAGGCAGGAAACTCAGAGGGAGGGCAATCTGGGGCCTGCTTGCTCTTGACTCCTCTGGCCCTCCTGTGTCCTCTCCATGGAAACATCCATTGTAAACAGTCTTTTGTGTGTGTTTGTGGGTGGTGGTGTGCAGCTTGAGTAGGAAGGGGCCAAGGAGCTAGGGGCCTGTATTGCCCCTTGGCAGAGGCCCTGGCTAGAGCCCTCCTTCCAAGCCTCTGCAATGAGCTCTACAAGGGAGCCTGTTGCTAAGAGACAACTCCTATTCCCCCTCCCCACCACTATCAGGGAATCTATTCTAGGATTACAACTTCCAATGAGGTCTCTGGATTTGAGTAAAAACTCTGGGGATAAAGAAGGCAAGTTGACGGAAAGCCCTCCTGAGGACCAAGGCTAGAAAAACCTGGAAAAGAAGTTACTGACCCCTAAGACTGTGTCTTCTTCATCCCCACACAGGTCTCAGTCCTTCTCTCACAAATAGCCTCAGAGCACTAAGTAAGGATGGAGACTGCAGCATCAGAGCAGTTGACTGGGGAGGTCAGAGAATCCTTGCTACAAGTCAAAGGGGTGGGCTGTGGACTAGGTGTTCTTCCTCCCTCCCCCTCTCCAGCTGGGTAGTTCCTTTGTTCTTTCAGCTATCCAGTTTTCTCTCCATCATTCTGTGCTGGCCACAGACTGCAAGACCCTGAAGACTAGATTACTATTTAATCAGACATAGTACAATATTTTACGGGGCTGGACGTGTCTCAGGGTAAGAATGTGGGCTTGCTTCTTCTGGAGACAGGACAACTACAGTGTAAGTTTGTGATGGATGGCTGCATTTGGGATGAACAGGAAAAACGCTCTAAATTATTCAACAGAAAGCCATGTGTTTAATAAACCGCTCTACTGTTCTGCTACTCTGTTCGGGTTCTTGGTTAGACTCCCAATTTTCTCTCAGAGAACTGTTTCCCACCAACTCTTGAATTGGTAGAGTTGATCCCAGCCCCTGGCTTCAGGGAAGCATGTGTGGTCTTACTTTGGTGTCAGAGGCCTGGCCATCTGGAGAGAAGACATTTCCCACTTCTGGTTAATACAGGCACCCCAGGACCTGTGTGCAGCTGGCAGGACAGGAGCCTGGGGCTATGGTGGCCTTACTGTCTTTTCAGTGGGATAGAAGAACCGGACTTCTGATGTCCCTTGAACAGTGGCACCCACATTTGCCCAAAGCTTTTGAGCAACACACAGTCTTGTTGACAACACGTCTACGACTGCAGGCGCCCATGTGCTGAAGCAAGCATGTGACTGAAGCTCCTGTGTGCCGGAACGTGGGTGCAGGGCAGAGCACAACTTTTAGGAGCTGGTCCTTGCCTTTCCGTTTTCTATTTTGTGTGCACATCATCCTTGACCCTTCTCCCACATATTCATTGAGGCAGGGTCTCTCAGTCCGAGCTCGCTGATACACCTAGTTTTGCTAGCCAGCCTGCTCTGGGGAAGCCCGTCTCTGCCTTCTGAGGCTGG